CTCTCTCTCTCTCTCTCTCTCTCTCTCTCGGTTCTTACGCATATGTCTGGCCAAGACTTTGCATATATGTACCGAACATTAAATTTATTATTAAAGCAAATAAAAAATAATAATTTTATAAAATAAATTTAATGTATTTTATAAAAGCCCATATAAAACATAAAATATGCCTGATTTCAATTGAAATACTTGACTATATATACAGAGCGAGGCAGCTATCACTATTTACGCGCTGTGAAGTTATTTTTGCTGCTATACACCTTAGAATGGGGCTCGAAAACACATTCAAGTGCTGAGAACTAACTATAACTTCAATGCCAGCCCCACTCTTAGGTGTATAGCAGCAAAAATAACTTCACGGCGCGTATATAGTGATAGCTGCCTCGCTCTGTAGCACACAGAATATTATAGTATATAACATAGATTACCCGTACGTATGTATAGACTTCTATATAGAGTAAATTTTATAAATTATATATAAAAGTGGTTGAGTTGTTATAAGTCTTACATAAATGGCAATAAAAAGAGAGCGATATTTGAGAGCACATGAAGAAGAAGATAAAGGAGTAGTGGTTTGAAAGGAGGAGAGAGAGAGAGAGAGAGAGAGAGAGCTGTCGTTGTTGCATAAGATTTTAATAAAAAATTAAAATGTTTTATTAAATATAAACTTATTTTATGAATAACTTATGAAGAGATAACACATACAAAGAGACAAAATTTCTGGAAAAATTTGATATGATATGAGGTTTGGCTGAAATAATACACTGTTTTCACATTCAAAAAATTTGTTTTCTTAATATTTGCCTTAAAGCGTAAATTATATGTATAATACATAATGAATGCAAAATGTATTCAATGTTAAAATATAATTCATATTTACTTTTTAAACCCATATATTTCTGTTGATATTTAAATTTAATTCTTAACAAATTTCTTATACGTTTACATATCTATCAAATCATATATTAAAAATATTCTTTGTACAGTATATGCTTTGACAATCAACTTTATTTAATAGGAAACTTATCATTTGAAACATAACTTTGTATTAATTAATAAATTGGAATTGAATTATAAGATTAAAACTTTAAAGCTTAAAAGTTTTAGTCTTGTAATTCATTTCTGATTTATAATCTCTGATTTATTTTAATTAAAAATTTATATATTTTTTGTAAAAATAGTTTTAAAGTACTTAACTAAAAATACAATTCATTACATTAATACAGATATATAGCGATTATGTATCCGTTTGGGACGAGCCGGTGGTCCAAATCGTTGGGACCGTTCATTGTGTGCATTATATGGCTGTTAGGCGTGGCGTTGGGTTCAGTCATTTGGTACAACTCGACGGCCGAACCGTTTCAGGTGTCGAACCAAACGTATTACGACTGTCGGGAGACGTGGAGCGTGGAGTCGGGCCGCGCCTACACTCTGGCCATATTCGCCATCACATTCGCTCTGCCCCTCTGTATACTGACTTACGTTTATGGGGCCGTCGGCTACAAAATGATCCGACACTCGACCCCCGGCAACGCCGACGCCGCCCGCGACGAGGCCCAGCACTTGGCCAAAGTCAAAGTGAGTGAACCCTGTTTTGCATTCAAGAATATTCTGTTAATTCTGTGCTATTTAGAGTATTTTAACCTTAATTCTTATGGGGATTCTTAACCTCACATTTTATTTATAATATGATATGTGTTTTACATTTTTGTTTGGCTTTCAATCGCTTTCTCTAAACCCGCAGGTAATCAAAATGTTGTCGACGATTGTCATACTGTTTGCTTTATGTTGGCTTCCGATACACGTATTAAATGTAAGTAACCTTTTCGTTGAATAGAAAAAATTCATTATTTATAAGTGTGTTTTTTAATACACTTTCTCACAGATGAAAGTGTTTTGTGTTTATTTGCTATTTATAAATGTGAAAAATGTTTGATAAATGAAATTGTTGTTATTTTGTATAATCCATATTTGTCTGAATCCAACAAAAATAGCTATTGATATCATTCAAGAGGGAATGGCTGGAGGGTCTGTACGAGACAGAGGCCGGCAATCAGATATATGTGGCGCTCATTATAGCAGCGCATTGGCTATCGATGGCGAACTCGTTTGTCAATCCAGTCATCTATTGTTTTATGAGCGATAACTTCAGAGTAAGTCTTAATCTAATAAAACGATTCAAATTATGTGCTAATAATTTCTGAAAGCCTTGTTTTGGTTGCTTTTTGAATGGCTTTTGAACGAAATGCACGCTTTTTATTGTATAGAATATATTGTAAATTATTTACTAGTTTATTTGCTTATAAATGTATATAACATTTCACTTTAATATCAATTTATAAAACACTACATAATTTTGTCACCTATATGAATATATTTGTATATGAACTACAGTATGTAAATTACATTTTAATTCAAATTTATCAATATTGCAAATAAATATCGAGGTAACCAACAAATGTATATCAAGAATGTATTTAATGATATTGTTTTAATATATTCTTAACGTCATTTATAAAATCAGATACAATTCCGTAGCATTTAATTGCAATTTGTTTATATATACATATATAAGACATTTAACTTAATGAAGACTATTCTGTATTGAATGCATAATAGGTTTCACGACTAACAATGGGAAGCAATTATTTAAATGCATTTTATTTTGTGTTACATTTAGAAAAGAAAAAATCTAACATTTGTTTCCCTCAAAACAAATCACATAAAAGAAAATAAAAATAAATGTATAGTTAGTAATGAAAAGTGGTGTCTATTCTTATAGTTAAGTTTGATTAGGATTTATATTTTATTTCCCGTTTTTTATTGTAATCATGTGTTGACCATAAAAGAGATGTTATATTTTGATTGTCATTACTATTTAAATCATTTGATTTGAATTTTTTAAATGGATTTTTCTTTTATTTTGTTAAGTGTTGTGTTGTATTAAACTTTAAATGTCACGATATATTTGCATGAATTTCCTGTATTATATTTATGTATATTTTGTTTTTATTTTGTGTTATTTGTGAAAATAATTTTCTATTTTCTTAATTATATATTAATTAAATATTCATAATTATGTTTATTTAATGCAAATCTATGTTTAATTCAATGAAATAATTTAGCATTAAATGAAATCAAATGATAATATCTTAGAGCCTATTGTTTTAGTGAATGATTTAATTGAATTGCTTTGAGATATAAAAATATATTAGGTTTGCGATGAGAGATATATAATTAGATTTTACAAACTTATTTAATTATCCATTAATATATCGCGATTTCATTTGATTTCATGTCATTGTACACAATGCCTTGTTTTTTAGATAATAGTTTAATATAATTAATTAAATTATTTATTTGTAAAAAACACATTTATATGATGGGCGTTTTGTCTGATATTAATTTTGTATTTATTAATGTTTTATTTTGTAAATTATACTCAAATTTGATGAAACATTAAAATACTCAATGAATTGCTCAAAGTTGTATGAAGTTTTTTGCTAAATATTAAATATTGGTTGTCATAAACAAGTCTATTATTAATGTGTTTATATAGTGAACACATATTTAATGTTTTATTTACATTAATTTATATGTAATTATTTGGAAATAATCCATAAAATGTCAGAATTAAGTCCTTTTGTCAGTTACAGTGACTGAAGTGCCGATAAATTATATAAAATATAACTTTTTTGTGTTTTTATTTTATTTGTTTAACACTTTCTTCACACATAATAATATATTCAGCAAATTCTTCATATGTTTATTGCATAAAATATGTTTTCATTTGTTTATATGTTAAAAATTAGTTACATATTTGTCGGGAATTAATGTTTAATATTAAAATAGTGATCTAAATATAGCATAAATTATATTCAATGTTTACCACTCATGTATGTATAAACAAATGCTTAATTTATCATTTTAATTTTATACAATACACTAATATAAACAATAGTCAAACAAACTTTATGTTACATTAAACTGAAAAATAAAATTTTATTAAAATTCTTGCAATTTTTATTATTATTTCGCATTTTATTTTACTTATTTTACGGCTATTATTACATGATTTGCAAAGCATTTTTGCCATTTATTTAATTGCTATGAATAGAGTATATGTCAGAAATCATACTTAACTTCTTTAAGAGTGTGTATTATCTCTTAGACAGATCTCAAGTGTTTGGCGACAGCCCGGTGTCCGCGACGGTATCAAAAGTCATACACTGGCGCCTATGGCGGCGCCGGTGACCGCTCTCTCAACGGCCAAAAGCGGTCATTACGTAAAATAAGATTCAAGAGCTCACTGGCAGCCAATGGTAATACAGAAACCACATCCATTAATCAAACCTCTCCTTCACTAGCCTTAAGTCCCAATTCTACCATAAGATCAATTGTCGGACACATTCAAAGGCCCGCCGCCTCCCAGTCCGCAGCCAACGCCGCCGCCATTATCGGTACCCCTTTCGCTGATGGCGACCACAAAGCCGATGGTAAAACACCTTACAATCAGATGACCGTTATTAAGATGAGACGCTTAGCGAATAACAATAATGTTGATAATGATGGCAACTTTGGTGGCGTTGATAATGCCTTACAATTGTCGTGCGAGAACTGCACCGTCGGCTACAAAGCACCGGACGGTCGTTGAATTGGTGGGCGACTCAACAATCGTATTAACAATTTGTATAAACATATGACATATGGTATTAAAATCAAAGACTTGATGAACACATACACAACCAAAAGGGGATGAGAGGTATATAATAAAAGTGAGAAACAAATATAACTAATTGTTTTTATATACAATTATATATTATTGGATTACATGTAATATTCTAGTGATTTATATGAATACTCTTATATATTCTGGATATAAGTATTAACTCAAGAATATTCTTATTTTATTTTTATTTTATGTGTTTTGTTGGAAAACATTTTGTATTTAAAGTTATCAATACGTAAATTATACAATAAATTTTATTGTAAAAAGGTATTTATTATTTAGGTATTACAGTGATTTATGTAGCAATCATGTAAAACAAATATTTGTTATAATTATATAACTAAACATGTTAATTATTTATATGAAATTCCTCTATTTAAATTAAACACATAATATTAATTATTATTTAAATTGTTATAAATATGATATTTATTATAAATTGTTAGACAAAACACAGAAGTCGTCAAATGAAATGTTTCGGAAATAACACAGAAAAGGAAACTTAATTTTATTTAATTAATTTACTATTGAATGTGTATTGAAAGGCATTTAATTGAAAAGTAATTATAGGAAATGTTGTCAACACAACAGCACAAGTGGTTTGTCTTTTGGATAAAATTTTTATTTGACATTAATTTTGATGATCGATACAATCAAATGTAATTATAAATTAAATATACAAAGAAATACAATTGTTAAATCAGTTATTTATTTAATACAAAAACATTATCAATGTTGGCTAAATATAATTTATATAATGTTAAGGTATTTAATAAATTTATATTAATATAATTTTAATTATATTGTTAAATGAATTATTGGACAAATATGATTTATTGTAATTTTTCAAACTTAAATTTTAACTATCATTATATGAATTAATGATTTATTGTTTGTAAAAAATATTTATTTATCAATAAAATTGTGATCTTTATAAAAGTAAGTAAAATATATTTCTTATATTAAAATATTAATATAATATTATTATAACATAATTAATGTGTTTTTTTAAAATATATTACTTTTTAATGTCTAATATTAAATATAATTTTTAAGCAGTTTTTTGTAATATAAGATTGAGATTGAATTTAAGAGAAAATATTTAAACATTTTTACAAAAATTCATTCAAATTTTATTTGAATATTACATTTGATTGTGTTTTAAATATAACAAAAATACGTCAAACAATACAAAGATTTCAGTAAATGTCATAAAATATAAGACAATATTATATAACATGAGATAACACTCAAAATATATTTCGTTTGTTTTATTTGATGACAAGAGACAAAATCATAACTTTTGTTTTTTTATCAAAAGTCAATCACAATTTTAGGCAAAAGATATGTTTTTCTGTTCAATGAATCGGAATATTTATTTCTCTGAAAACGATGAGAGAGAGAGAGAGAGAGAGAGAGAGAGAAAGGGAGAGTCAATATCATTGATATCTATCAAGACATAAAAAAAAGTGAAGCAAAAGATAAGTTTTTGAAGTGAGAAAATAGCTGTGATTTGGATTCACTATACATTATATGATGTAATATAATATGTATTTTAAAGGGATTTACAGCCGTTGAGTGCAATGAAAGTGCCGGCAGATTATGGCCGCAAAAAAATATCATATGATTTATAGATTTTAGGCACTCATCGGATGAGAGGAATCATAAAAATCTATACATGTTTTCATTTGACATTATGGCTCAGCTCTTCCTGTTTCCGTCTCTCTCTCTCTCTCTCTCTCTCTCTCTCTCTC